CACATATATATATATATATAATTTTCAAATTACTGAGATTTCAATGCTGTTTCTTCTGCTTCAAGCTTGATCCAAAATAATTTTTCTCCTGTCTTTTTTTTTTTTCAGTGTTGTGGTGATTTCTTTATCTTTGTGTTGTATATAAGACATTGAAATTTTATTTTCCAGCATTTCAATTGAGTTTTTCTCTCTAGCTCACTTTTTCTGCCATGTTTCTGATTGTTTTATCCGTTTTGCTTATTTTTGCCTACGTATCACTAGTCTTCCTCCCAGCTTTGACTGAATGAAAATTTTTGAAACGTTTGTGGTAATTTGTCATTTTATGAGTACATATTTGAAATCTTCACCAAAATTTTATCTATTTCAATATCTTTCAATTGAATTCTTGGGGAATTTTGATCCTTTGGAGGCATTATTTCTGACTTGATTTCTTTTTTAAAAAATTCTTTATTAATTACTTTATTCACTTTGTATCCCCCCTGTGGTTTTCTCCCTCCTCCAGTCCAATACCTCCCTTTCTCCCCCCTCTGCACGCTTGTCCCTCCCCAAGTCCACTGATAGTGGAGGTCTTCTTCTCCTTCCTTCTGATCCTAGTCAATTGGGTCTCATCAGGAGTGGCTGCATTGTTGTCTTCTGTGACCTGGTAAGGCTGCTCACCCCTCAGGGGGAGGTAATTAAAGAGCAGGCCAATCAGTTCATGTCAGAGACAGTCCTTGTTCCTATTACTATGAAACCCACTTAGACACTGGACTGCCATGGGCTACATTTGTGCAGGGGTCCTAGGTTATCTCCATGCATGAGTATCAGTCTCAGGAAAGAACGCTGTGCTCAGAATTTTTGGTTATGTTGCTCTCTTGTGGAGTTCCTGTCCTGTCCAGATCATACTGTTTCTCACTTCTTTCATAAGGTTCCCTGCACTCTGCCCAAAGGTTGCCCATAAGTCTCAGCATCTGCACTGATGATCTGCAAGGCAGAGCCTTTCAGAGATCCTCTGAGTCAGTCTCCGGACTTGTTCCCTCTTTTTGCCTTCTTCAGATGTCCATCTGCTTTGCCTTTCTGGATAGGGATTGAGCATTTTAGCAAGAGTCCTCCCTCTTGATTAGTTTCTTAGGTGTACAGATTTGAGTAGGTTTATCCTATATTATATGTCTATCTGAGTGAGTATATACCATGTGCATCTTTCTGCTTCTAGGATAACTCGCTCAGGATGATCTTTTCCAGATCCCACCATTTACCTATAAATTTCATGATTTACTTGTATTTTTTAATTTTTAATTTTTTTTTTATTGCCGAGTAATATTCCATTGTGTAGATGTACCATAATTTCTGTATCCATTCCTCCGTTGTGAGACACTTAGGTTGTTTCCAGGTTCTGGCTATTACAAATAAAGTGGCTACAAACATTGTTGAGCAAATGTCCTTATTGTGTACTTGAGCCTCTTTTTTTTTTTTTTTTTTCTTGGTGGCAAACACCTTTATTTATGAGCCATCTCATCACTCCACCGTGTCTTTAGAAACAGCATGTCTGTTGAGACCTGTGCTCCTGTCTCAGCCTCGGCTGGAGCCTCTTCTGGGTGTATGCCTAGGAGTGGTACTGACTTTTTACCAGCTTGTGTTTCTTTAGCATGATTCATATCTGTTGGTTTAAGTACCACTTTTGCTTAATTTGTCTTTTTTTTTAATTTAGTGACCTACTCTCAAGGGTTCACTGCCCACAATCACTCAGAGAACCACTCAGTTTAAATGTATCTGGAGATCTCTAGCAATTGTCTGTAGTCTCTAACATACTTGTTTCCTGCCACACCTCCAAATTAGATGTTGAACAAGCTCTTCATGAGAATATGGAAAGGCATAGAGTCTGACCTTTCTTTCTTTTTTTTTTTTTTTTTTACTTAAAAATTATTAATCTTTTAGGCTGGTAGACTTGCTCCTTGGGGCCATTGGTCACAGGAACTCAAAAGGAGAGGAGCCTTGGATTTGAGCCTTGAACCTCCAGACTTGAGGTCTGGTGCCTTGCCAACTGACATTTTGGCTTTTATTTCCTCTTAAGAAGGAGGAGGCATTTTCAGCTAAGGGATCCTATTTTTTAACAGCAGGCTGTCCTAATTTTATTGACAAAGGGCCCCTGGTTTGACTAATCAGTTTACTTATTTCCAAAATGCTAGAGCCTGGGCCTTGAAGCTTTTGACTGCTTGGAAAGGAGGACTTGGCCAAGGGAAAAATCTTGTTGGAGCTAACAGCTCCAGCAGGGAGAAACAACTAGAATTGTAAAAAGAAATCTTAGCCACCGCCCCCCCCCCCGGTCTTTCAATGAGGCTAGCTTGCACAGCAACTTGAGGAAGCCAGGAACTTGATTGCAGGAGCCAAGAAGGGACTCTGGACAGTTTATCACTATATACTGTGTCTAGAAGATCATATCCCATCTTTGAGAACAGGCTGAATGCAGTGGATTCTGTATTATGGAGTCCTCCTTTGGAGGCTGGCTCAATCAAAGCTTAATTGCCTGGGTTTGGAAAGCTTCACCCAAATTGCTACTAGCTGTCAGATGCTTGAGCCTCATTAAACTTATGATGATGGTGTTGATGTTAACTAGCATTTCCTTTGTAGAGACTGCAGCAAATACAGACTGCCTCCCGCAGAATCTTGCTCCTTACCATATCCATTTATCAGCCCATAAGCACACATAAAGAATTGATCACTCGTATAGCCCTGTACATATTTATACACATATTCAATGGATGAAGCATAAAAGGAGCTCCTTACATACAGACAAATTGACAAGCATTTGTGTAACATGTACACAAAAAACAGATGGATACATTTACATGCAAGCACATTGTTAGGATAGTGTGGCGGAGTTCTACACAAATCATAAATCACACCACACAACAGGTTCCACCCGGGAGGTTTTATTAGGGGAAGCAGGGCTGGGGGCCTGGGGTTGATTACCGAGACTGTGTCTGGGCAAGGCAGGAAGGAGAGGCAATAGCAGTGGCAAGTCCTCTTAGAAGGTGACCCAGCGCACGCTCAGAACTAACATGTGGTTGCAGGAGGTGCAAGTAGTCAAGTCAACTCTGATTCTGGAGGTGGCCTCACAGATGCTGATGTGCAGCTTGTCAGCTCCCCTGGGGAGCCTTAGAGATGCCTGCTCACTGATCCCAACACACATATGTATATACCTATGTACATATATACAAAGTATTGATGAAGAAAATTCCATCGAGCTTCAAAGTTTATTCTATGAATTTAGATCTAGTTATACCCTTTAACATAGAGTCTTTACCACAGAAGAATAATTGCTTCACAGCAATTAGCAAGGTAAGGGATTACATGGTATTCTAAACACATTGCTTTCTGATAGTTTCATGGTAGGTACAGAATATTAGAAATTCATGTCATGTGTTAACAAAGTCCACAGATTAATATATGGCCAGATAATTGTTCACATGTCTTTGCATTAAGAGATTTCTTATCTATCTCTGGTTCCACAAGTTCATCTAAGATTTAAAGCAATGATTTCCAGACGCCCTAGTGCAAACTGAGACCCACCGACCCAATGGAATGTTTACTTTTGGGAAAATAAATATGTTTTAGGCATAAACTCTCTGTGTTAAGATTTATGTACTTGGCATCCAGAGGCTCACAGAGCTCTTTAATATAGCTATAACTTTCTATCAACTCTCTCACTTCTTAAAGTCTAACATTTGTTTAAATCAAAACGGGAAATGTATAAAATCATTCTCAGGCACTATGAAATCATTAGTTCATCTGAACAGCAGTAGATCTTCATAAAGATCCTGAAGGAGATCTCCTCAACCAGGACGGGTAAATACCCAAGGAATGATGGCAGTGAAGGCCTCTCTAAACCATGGAGTTTTGAGAGTTATAGCAATAGCAGTACAGAAAAAGTGGTGTCAATTAGAGGAAGATATTCTAGAGCCACAATCTCTGCCTCAGATTTATCTCTACTGTAGATCCTAAAAAAAGATACAAACTTAAATTAAACAAACAAACAAACAAACAAACAAAATACTAAGATATTTCCAGGAAGCCCAGATGTCTCCTGATTCCCTTTCCCTGAATGTCTCCTGACAGGAAAGAAGAAATAGCAGGAAAAGCAAGGCAAAATGAAGGTTAGTGCATATGATCAAAATACATGATGTATTGGAAAGACATGCCTTTCATTAAAATTGTGTTCAATTAATTAACAACCATAAAAGACTTTAACGGACAGCATGATAACTCATATGGTGAAGACATTTTCCACCAAGCCTGATGTCAAACATGAGTTTGATCTCCACAAACAAAGTTGAAAAAGAAAGTTTCAAGTAGAAATTGTCCTCTGACCTCCACAAACATGCCATGTTATATGGGCACCAATAAATATGCAAACAAAGATATACTAATGCACATTCACATGTATGTAGACAAATGTAATTAACTAACATGTAATAAAAATGAAAATAATTTATAGAAAGTAAAAGAATAAACACAAAGAATGGATAGCAGGAAGGAAAAAAGGAAGGAAGGAAAAAAGAAACAAAGGAAGAAAAGAAGGAAGAAAAGAAGGAAGGAAGGAAGAAAAGCACTCTATAATCTAGAAAAACAAGAAATATACTGTTTCCTAGATCCTCCAAATTGAAATAAAGTTTTTCATCATCATTATACAGGCCAAGAGTATTATATTGGATATCAGAACTTCAAAACTGTAAAAATATAAATCTTTTATCTGTAAGCAGCAGAGTTGTAATAATATGTTCCATAAGAAATAGAAATATAATAATGAGTTCTTTTTTGCATTTTAATATAAAAGTTTTTCATACCAAAAGACACAAGAAACATTGAACCCACAGTTTTGGACTGGGCTCTGCAAACATTTTCATTACTTTTTAAACACACCTGCTATCACACAGAAGAGGGAAGTGTGCAGGGCCAGGACTGTGTGTGCTGAAGGCAGCTGGTGAGACTCTCAAGGAGGATTTTGTTGGAGGCTGAAGCACTGTGGGAACATTGTTGTAACCCCTCTGACAGTAATAAACTGCCAGGTCTTCCGCCTGCACTCTCGTGATGGTGAGAGTGTAAAAAATCTCAGATCCACTGCCTATGAAGCGATCAAAGACCCCTTTTTCCAGAGAGGATGTATGGTAGACCAGCAGCTTAGGGGACTGCCCTGGTTTTTGCTGGTACCAGGCCACATAGTTCTTTGGGTCTTTGCTGTATGAAAGTCTCTGACTGGACCTGCAGTTGATGGTGACCTTCTCTCCTGCTGACACAGCCAGGGAGGATGGAGACTGGGTCACAACAATGTCTGCACAGGCACCTGCAATCAGGAACACACAATGAACATGTACATAGATACAAACACAGATTGTAAAAACATGTGAAATTTGTATTTATTATCTTTGTACTATCATTTTGTCAGAGTGTTATTATGTAATAATACTCTGGCACCCTTTCTAAATTTCTTATCACAAGTAAGTTGCTCTGCGAAGATTATAAATAATATTTTGAGTTTCTCACCAGACACCCAAAGCAGCAGGGATATGAGGACCTGGGTCTGTGACTCCATCTTTCTCCTCCTGCTGTCTGAGGCAGTTCAGTTCTCACTGCAAAGGCGTGGTCTATAAATTCTCAGCAGGTGGGCTGGGCTGTAGGGGCCCATGCAAAGCAGTCAGCAAATATATAAGCAAATGCCTGTGCAGTGTCTGTGAGTGTAGCTGGTGTCAATCAACAGTCAAAAATACTATTACAGGAGCATGAGCAATCACTGAAAAAAGATTGCCTTACAGCTCTCAAAGAGAATGGTATTAGGACCTCTATTAGCAGGCCTGGGTTAAAATCCAAGACATACTTAAATCAATTGACTTTTGTAGAAATATTAGTTGAGCTATATCAGACTGACAGTCTTAGGAAAATTATAGGATATGTACACAAAAAATCACAACAACAACAAAACAAACATAGCAAGAAAACATGCCATAACAGAGAGAAATGGTAGAGGGAAGAAAAGATGAAAGGAAAAAAGAAAAATTGAGGCTAAATATGTGCAATATTACTCATCTCCCAGCCATTCTTATACTGAAGACAGAGAGCAGGGCCTCAGATATTTGAGCTCCAGTTTTTTTAAATAAAGAAGGGACTAAGATGAAAAGAGTAGCCCAAAATTAACTCTGCATATATCCAGGTAGACATTAATTTAAGACTGAGATGGAAATATTTCCCATGATCATAGCTTGGCAGGATTAATATAGTAAAAATAGTCACCTTACCAAAAGCAATCTACAGATTCAATGCAAGTCCTGTCAAATTATCAACATAATTCTTGACAGACCTTGAAAGAAAAATTCTCAACTTCATATGGAATATCAAAAAA